TATATATGTGTGTGTATATATATATGCCTTACTGTTAAAAATGTACATGTGAAACTTACCAGATTTTGTTAACCAATGTCACTATAAAAAACATTAATTAAAAAAAACCACTGGTTATAAAGATGCTCAATGAACTTAGGGGAATAGTAGTCAACTCAGTGAGAACGTTAACGAAGGGATAAAAAAACAAAAATTGAAATGGAAATTATAAAAGGGAACAAGTCAGAAATGAAAAACATATTATCTGAGATGAAGAGTATATTAAATGGAATAAACAGAGTGAATAAAGAAGATCGAACTACTGATATAGAGGATGGGGAAGCGCAGGGACACTCAATCAGAAAGGCAAGAAAAAAGAAGCCAAGAGTATACTAATAATTTAAGGAGCCTATGGGACGCAATTAAATGTAAAAATATGTGTGTCATAGGGGTACCTGAAGGAAAACAAGAAGTTGAAAAGTTATTTGAAGAAATAATGATGGAAAACTTCCCTTACCCTGTGAAGGAAATGGACATATAACCCCAGGAAGCTCAGAGAGTCTCAAAAAAGATTAACCCAAAGAAGTCCACATTATAATTAAAATGCCAAAGGTTAAATGCAAAGAGAATCTTAAAAGCAGCAAGAGAAGAGCAATTAGTTATCTACAAGGGACCTCCCATAAGACTGGCAGCTAATTTTCCAAAAGAAACTATGTAGGAGAGAAAGGCTTGGCACAAAATATCCAACATGATGAAAACTCAGGATCCACAACCAAGAATACTTTATCCAGCAAAGCTATCATTTAGAGTCAAAGGACAGATAAAGAGTTTCCCAGACAAAAATAAGCTAAAGGAATTCAACACCAAGCCAGTATTACAGGAAATGTTGGAGGGACTTCTTTAAGAAGAAAATCATGTATCAAAAACATGAATAAAGAATGGTAATAACTACATTCCTATCAACAACTACTTTAAATAGAAAAGAATTAAGTGCTCCAACCAAAAGATAGAGTGGCTGAATGAATAAGAAAACAAGACCCCTACATATGCTGCCTACAAGAGACTCACTTCAGATTAAAAGACACACACATACTAAAAGGAAGGGGATGGAAAGAGGTATTGCCTTGATGGACCTAGAGGATATTGCGCTGGATGAAATAAGTCAGATAGAGAAAGACAAATATCACATGATTTCACATACATGTGGAATCTAAAGAACAAAATAAACAATAAAAATGGAAATAAATTCATAGAAACAAAATATTTTTAGGACTACTAGATGGGGAGTAAGGGGTACAGTGAAAAGGGGCAAAGGGATTAAGAAGTACAAATGGATAGTTACAAAATAGACATGGACATATAAAATATAGCATAAGAAAAATAGTTAACAATGTTGTAATAAACATGTCAAGAGGGAAAAGGGGTACTATATTTAGTAGGGTGAACACTTTGTGAGTTGTATAGATCTCTAATCACTATGCTGTACAACCGAAACTAATATATTATTGTATGCTAACTATAATTGAAAAAAACTCATTGAATTGTACTATGTAAATATGAGCAACTGTCTATATCTCAATAAAGTTGGAAAAAAATGAGATACTAGTACAGTATTATAAGAATGGCAAAAACAAAACAAAACTAATATCAAGTACTGTTGAAGATGTGGAGCAACTAGAACTCCTATACTTTTGATGGGAATGCAAACAGTTCAGCTACTATGGTAAATAATTTTTTGCTGTTTGTTATAAAGTTAAATATATACTTACTATACGACCCAGGATTCCATCCAAATATCGGTCTAAGAAAACCTGTGTTTTACACAAACACCTACACATGAATAGCAACTTTGTACTTGCCAAACTGGAAAAACCTTATATTTACTAACAATGAATCCCTTTCCATGAAAAAAGAAACTATGTAGATTGTTTTAATAATGAATCCCAATTTGATTGTGCCTCTTTGTACATGACCTTTTGCATTGTGACTTTGCTACCTGCTGATTTTGATTTTGCCCGTGATTTGCTTTGGCAAATGGGACAATAACAAATATACTATCAGAGGCCTGAAAAGTACTTGTGCATTTGGACTTACACTCTTGCCCCTGAGAATCCTTCTGTCACCATGTGAAGAAGCCTGTACTAAGGATGAGAGATCCCCTCTCTATCCCAGTCATCTGAGTTGAGGCCCCAGACATGCGGAGGCCCAACAAGTCCCAGCTCAGCAGCTGAGCTGGCCTAGACCCTAATTGTGTAGCCAAGTCACATATTCCTAAGAAATAATATATGTTTGCTGTTTCAAGCCACTGTGTTTGGGTAGTTTGTTAAGCAGAAAGAGCTAATAGATACAGTTGATGTCGAGTTCATTTGTCTCTGATCTGGTGGGCCATAAGGCAATTAGTTGGGGCTTTTTTTTTCTTCTAAAGTAGTGGTCTTCAACATTGTCTGAACATTGGAATTACCAGCAGAGCTTTATAAAAGAATGCTGGCTGGATCATACCCCATAGATACAATTTAATAGGTATAGGATGCAGATGGCCACTGTAACTTTAAAAATTCCACCCCAAGTGATTCAAATGAGCAAAAGTCTATTGTTGGTCTATTCAGTAGAGGATTTGGAATGAGTACAGTCATTACTCTCCTGCTCATGTTACTAACATTTCTCCCTCAGAGAGTAAATAGCAATGACAGCTGGTCCCCGAGACTACTGATAAAAGTCTGAGAAACCGGACCTTCACTGGAATTGAGTCACTTCTCTTTCTGGATGCTATACCGCTGACCTACTTATTCTTCATGGTCCCTACAATAATAAAAATCCAAATAAATGTGACCAAACTACCCTCAAATTGTTTGCTGAATTGTGACAGTGGCCATTCTTTATCCTGAGTTTTACAACCAGCAATTATTTATTGAGAGCTTAGCATTCTTGAAGTAGAATGTTTATTTAGTGCAGTACCTGATGATATGCTATTCTGACTTTTTTTCCCTACCTAAAATATATCAATTCTTTGAGAAAAGGAGCCAGGGCTATGCATGACTTAAGTGCTCAATTTACTTGTTATAATCAATTATGTGCTTGACTAATAAAATGAGATTTACAACTAAATACAGGGACTTAAAAACAATGGGCTCAAAAACAAAAGCTCAAACCAAACCAATAAAAAAACCAAAGGACTAAGTTTCACAAGAACCTTGAGATCAAACTCTGAGTAATCCCTACACTATAATTAAACAGTTTAAAGGAAACAAGCCTTTTTCCTTGCATAAATGAAATATAAATAATTATATAACTGTTTAGACTATATTCATAAACACATTAAGATTCATAATCTTTCAATTATAAGTAGATAAATATTGGGAAGTTCACACTGATCAAAAGGAACAATGTTTTATTCATCTGAATTACCTAACAATCTCAGTGCTTTATGGGAAAGAAAAAAAAACAACTCCAGGAACAATACTCTGCATTTTTCTCTGTTATAATGAGCAATTTAAATGTCCTGTTTCTTCCTCTTTCAGAAACTGTTTATATACTCTTATTATTCTGATATCACTCTGAGTTTTAAATCCTTTCGCTCTTGAAAAAATGTACTACATTGGTAGACTTGAATTTTTGTACCAAAAATGTCGATTACTATTAACCACAAACCTGGCCAAACTCTTGTCTTTCAGAAGTTACCATATTTATCATTTGTTCTAAGTGACTATTTTGATTTTTATTTTCACTTGTTAATACAGTACACCCTATTCTCCCTAAGTGGTCAGTGAATAGGTTATAACACCTAGACTAAATGAGATCCAGGAGTATTAAGGCCTTGAAGGTGTATTTTAATTTAAAAAAAAAAATTAAGATTCCTTAAATTTTATAGTAACATATCCACCCTTCCAAGCACTCCAAAAATCTGAAAAGCAGATAGGCTTTTCTGCTACTATAAATAAAAATTCATTGCAGAGCTCACGAACATTTCAAATACAATTAAGAGCAATGCAAACCTGGAAATGAAATGCCTCTTCATAGAGTTGTCCTTTTAAGGAGGACAGTTTTTCAGAGATTCTTCCAGATAGTGGTTTATTTAAGGTGTATGAAATGAAATAAATCACTGCTATACAAAATAAAAATATTTTGTACTTTTATTTACAAATTAATTTCATAAACAAACTATAATAAACACGACCAAAAAACAAAGAAAGTTATTGGCTTCCATCCCTTAGGGCTAGAAAAATAAATTATTTAAATAGATATCTAAATCTGTCTTCTGCCTTTTAGAGAAATTAATGTATCGCTTATACATATTTTAAAATTGTTCTTAAATCTTATTTAGACCTAAGACTGGGCATTGTTCTACTTTTTACATAGAATTGTAGAATCTTAAATAAAGCTAACGTAATCTTCTACTAGTATAAACTGAATTTCATAAAATATAAACATTTTATAAATCCTATAATTCAGGTTGAATTAATTATGACTAATCTGTAGAAATACAGAGCACAAATCTGTTGATCGTCCATAATTAGTCTGCAATATATGAAAGAAATTTTACAATGGCCAGAATAAGACTATTCATATTCTTGAAAGGTAGCTTTTTCCCAATAAATATTCCTTCTACCACTTCTATATACTTTAGAACACGTTCTGAATCCAAAAAGAAACAACATATAATTATTTGACTTTTTGTTTTTTTCTTGCTTGAAACTGCTCTGTTTTGTTTTTTACGGATTTAATCAACATTGACAAGGCAGGATCAATGGACCTCTTTTGTGATTTCTTTTGAATTTCACTCTCTTTTTTCTTTACTGCCTGAGTAAGTTCTTGTTCTTTTTGTTCTCTCTGCCGGGCTTTCTCCTCAAGGATTTTTTCCATAGCTTTTGTTTTCTTGAAATTGGGATCTGAAGGATCCAAATTGAACAAGTGCGAAGTATACATTGCTTGAAACCGTGCATCCTTAACATTTACCTATAAATCCAAAAGGAAAATAAAAAAAAAACTAAATTAGTAAACCAAAAGGCCCCAAAATAGGGCCAAATTTCAAGTCAGTGAGTTGTTGATTACATAAAATAAAACTGTGAGCATTCTGCATATATTCATCAGAAAATTGTTTTTTTCACAGATCTTCAATGGAGTTTTAAGCCTACTTTTAAACTACAGCGTGCAGGGCACACTGTCCTTATCATGCAATGACAATATCCTTGAAAGAGCCTATATATATAGATGCCTGTATTTACACTGGCCACTTAGACTGAGTGACTATAGAAATGGTTCCCTAAGGCAAGCTTCCCCATGCTTACAGTCTGAATTGTTCCTGGCTAGGATAATTAAGCCATAGACAGTATGTCCTACTGGAGTTTTATGTAAAGTCACTGCATTTGAAGTACATCTAAAAAACCTTTACCCTTGGTGCCAAAATGAGTAGCTACTGAGGGTGATTATAGATCAAAAGATTTAGATTACTATGGAAAAGAAGGCACCCTTATGACCAAGATCTGATCAGATACAAGCCCCAAATTTATCTCTGTTTCTACAAAAACACTGTGGTTTCACATTTAAGAGCATATCCTTAACTCCAGCCAGGCTTTTGAGTGTTGCCAGACACAGGGGTGACCAGCAAGAAAGGGAGCATGATTCACTGCCACCCATAATTCTCACAGGAAAGATGAGTATGTACCTAGATATGGATCATAAAGTCACATAGTTATAGTAAAGACAACAGATGTGATACTTCCACCACCACCACCAACAAAATAAAAATATTATTCATGATTATTAATGTGTGAAGACAGTTCTCATAATAGAAGATTTGACAACAAATCATTCTTTGCTTTTAACTTTTTCATAAGAACACCATTCATTGAAAAGTTCAGTGGAACAGCCACATACATGGAACCAACTTAGAGAAATTGGAGCTACAGAGTGGCCTCAAAGTTCTCTATATGCTACGTAGAAGTTAACTGTATGCTCCTTTTCATCCTTTGAACAAATTCAAAATTACCCCCATGTTCTTCTGGGTCTATTCTTCCACATTAAAGGTTGGAAGTCATTAAATAGTTCCTGATAGCTCTTCAGAGCTTGTCTGTTCAGGGACTGTGTGGTCATTAGGAATATGGACTTAGCAAATAAAGAGGGAAATGAGGGAGCAACAGAAATAAGAAATAGAGCAATTAAAAAAGCTTAGCTTACTGCACTGACCACTGTCCACAATGACAGTGTGACAATGTGATGTGAACTTGCTATTTCACAGTTGGACTTAATTATGTATATCTTTCCCAGAGTGAGCATCGTACTGCATGTGATTCTAACATTAAAAGCTATACAACAGGGTGTAACAGGGCTACAAAATACAAGCCAACTGCTTCACCTAGTGCTCAACCAAAGGAAAAGTGATTTGATCCACCTGGGAATGAACTGGCTGGGTAAGACTAAAAGATGGTAGCGCTGGCACCATGGTCCTCCCTAAGACATGTCAAGGCTAACTTTGACTATACTCAATTTTCATCTCTAGAGCTGACTTTAGATTCAACACCAGCTTTAAAAGGCTAATGATTTTTGTCCCTGGTTACCTCAAAGTCATCCTCTAATAATTCCTTCTTTTTCATAAGCTGCTTTTTCTTCTTTTTGCTCAGATTCTGGTGCTCCACAATTTTGTTGTAATTGAAGTGTTTCTTGCTCTCTTCTTCCTCATCCATCACGAGCAAAGCCATTTCAGCCTATAAAAAGGAAAAAAAAAAAATTCAAATATACAACAGTGTTTTTTCCCCCCAAACAGGAGTATGGGGAACAGAAATCCCCTCTAGGAAAGACCTTAGTCATCAATGCTCCAGGATAACATCTGTCATCCATAAACTGATAGTAGATTACTGAAACTCATAAAGAAACCCAGAGACCTTTGTACAGCAATAAAGTAAAATCTTTAGAAGCAAAATCACTGAGAACAGGAGAGGAGTGAAAGTTTGTTTTTAGATACCAGACCACTCAGTGTCACTGGTTAGTAGGCTGCAGAAATGAGTCCCCAAGTCAACCATATAAAAATTTATCATTTTCACTTTAGTCTTTTTAAGCAATGACACTAAATATAGCAAATGTGATAATTTTCTGATACAAAATGCTTTTCAAATATGTATTTTAACAAGAAATTTCTCTGTTCTTTTGCCTTTATTGTTTCAATACTAATACATTCTATTAAGGCGGGATCTTAATATTTGCTTTTGAAATCTAATATATTGTCTTTTCCACTAAATAGGTATTTTTCTATTGACCATGGGATTAAATATGAACCCTAAAGAACCAAGTACAACCATGTATACTAGAAAAATCCAGAGTATGCTGCTAGACTTTTGTGAATCTTCCTATATTGCTACTTTAAACTGCTTTAATTTCCTTTAATTCCATCACTGGCATCTATAGTTGGCTTTCTTTATGGAACCATTTTCCACAAAAGAGATTTTCTTTGTGTACCTTAACTCTACAAGCATTACATGCAGCAAGTGGAGAACAGAAAATATCCATGAAAGTGCAGAGTTTAGGTAACCAGTCAGGCTTACTCGCAGATAGCAATGTGAATGTCAGTCACAGGGATGCTGTTGACACCAATTCCTGCCTCAATAAAAGTACATATTACTCTGTGCCATGGATCTCTGGAGTCACTGAAGATAAGGTTCACTGCATTTCCAAGACTTTATTTTTGTACATTTTTTACAATAATAAAAAGAGAGAATTCAAATTAGCATTTGACAAGCCATTAAAGCAAAGTCTGTATTACAGGACAGATTCAGATTAAATTAAAACTTACGGCAATATTATTTTCAGGTTTTAAGAGTAGTATTTTTTGTCTATTATAGTAAGGGTTTTTAATAAAAAGATATTTTCCTCTTAATCACAAAAGTACATGCCTTGGGTTTGAGGTAAAGTTTAACTTCGTATTAGCTAGGGAAATGTTTGGTAAAAAGGTGATCTTTTAAAACTGTGCTGCTACCAAAAACATACAGTGGAGAAAAGAAAGCCTCTTCAATAAATGGTGCTGGGAAAATTGGAAGGCTACCTGCAAAAGAATGAAACTAGACTGTTTTTTATCACCACACATTAAAATTAATTCAAAGTGAATTAAGGAATATAAGACCGGAATCAGTAAAATGCATAGAAGAAAACATAGGAACTAAACTCAAGGATCTTGGACTTAAAGAGGATTTTATGAATTTGACCTCAAAGGCAAGGGAAGTAAGAGCGAACATAAATGAATGGGACTACATCAAACTAAAAAGCTTCTGCTCAGCAAAAGAAATCATCAACAAGGTAAAGAGACAACCATCCAAATGGGAAAACATATTTGCAAGCAACACCTCCGATAAGGGTCTAATATCTAAAATATACAAAGAACTCATATGACTCAATAACAACAAAAAAACAAACGATCCAATCAAAAAATGGGCAGAGGACCTGAAGAGACACTTCTCCCTAGAGGACATACAAATGGCCAACAAATATATGAAAAGATGCTCAACATCACTAGCTATTAGGGAAATGCAAATCAAAACCACAATGAGATACCATCTCATACTTGTTAGAATAGCTATAATCAACAGAACAAGTAATAACAAATGTTGGAGAGGATGCGGAGAAAAAGTAACCCTCACACTGATGGTGGGACTATAAATTGGTACAGCCACTATGGAAAACAGTATGGAGGTTCTCAAAAAACTAAGAATTGATTTACCATATGATCCAGCAAATCCCTCTACTGGGTATTTACCCCAGAGACTTGAAAACTCATATCCAAAAAGATATTTGCACACTGATGTTCATAGCAGCATTATCTACAGTGACCAGGACATGGAAGCAACTGAAGTGTCCTATATAAAAATGCTAAATACTGCCATTTGTGACAACCTGGATGGACCTTGAGATAATCATGCTAAGCGAAATAAGCCAGACTGAAAAAGTTGAAAAACACATGATATCGCTTATATGTGGTATATAAACCTAAAAGCAGCAAATGAACAGGATAGAGACCCACGGACATGGACAATGGACTAGTGGTTACCAGAGGCGGGGGGGCGGGGAGAGGAGGGAAGACATAGATAGGGTAAAGGGGGTCAATTATAAGGGAGTTGGGGGAAGATGAAGTGGGTAAAGAGGATCAAATATATGGTAGCTGAAGGAAACTGGACTCTGTGTGGTAATCACACAATAGAATATATAGATGTCAAATTATAATGTATACCTGAAAATTATATAATTGTATTAACCAATGTTACCCCAATAAACTTAAAAGAAAAAAAAAATAAAATTGTGCTGCTAAAATATTTAATTATGTTTTACAATTTACTTATAAATTTTTAGTTAAAATAATTTATTTTTTTTATTAGAGAGGGATAATAGAAATTCATGTGGATAATTTCATTTAAATTGTACATATCAACTATTGGCTGATTATGTAACAATAATCATGTTTTACCTTTTGTTTTTCTATTTCGGCATCTTCCTCTGGAGATATGCTATCTTTTGCAGATTTCATTGATTTTTCCTTTTCTTTTATACCTGGCACAATAAACCAACATAGGAGGGTTAAAAATTATAAGTCTATCGGCAACAATGTCTAAACTAGGAACAAAAATGCAAGTATCTACGAATAATTTTATCAATAGATGTATAGAAACCAGATAAAGTAAAAAAACATTACTGAGAAATGACTATGAGTGATATAAATACAATACATCTGGATAGAGTGACTGATTACTATAAAGAAGTAATTTCTTCTGAAAGTAATTATATAGTTTTTTGCTATATATCATCAACTAAGAATGAGAAACCATAAGATCATTTTAAGAGATATAGAAGATTTGATAAAATTCAATATTCATTCATAATAAAATACATATATTTAATGAAATTCTACATAAAATTTCATTCAAGGAAATCTTTGCAAAGATTAACTAGATTAGCTACAATAGTGATACAGTATACTAAAATGTACTACAGAGTGAAAATATCCAAAAAATAATGAACTATTTATGAGAAAAACAGAACAGTATAGCTTAGTATATAATAAAATATATCATCGTACATCACTGGAAAAAGAAGAGATTATTCAATAATTGGTACTGAGCAATTTGTTTTGTTCTGGAAGAAAAAAATCAAAGTATCACCTTAAAGTGTATGGGCAAATAAAATGCATTAAAGAGTTAAATTTAATATATTTAAAGATGGATTAAAGAGTTAAACATTAAGAAAAAAAAAATCATATGAGGAAATACAGGAGAATAGCTACCTGATCTTAAATAAAAATATTTTCTTACCATAAGAATACAGGAAATCACAAAGGAAAAAAAAACCCAAAAAACCAAACGAGTGATTTGAATATATAAACTCTTAAAACTCTGTATTAAAAAACTCATCTGCAAAATGAAAAATTCATCTCTATAATAACAATTTGACAGTAACTACCTGTAAGTAAAAGTTTAACAAAACCCTTTCTCTTTTTCTAAAGACAAGTTTGATCTTTGGTTAACTTTCTAGCTCTATTATCAGGCAAAATTACTTATGATAAAAGTGAGTTCTGATTGGAAAACTGCTTGTATTTCTAGGGTCTCCAGAACTCTTGGAGACCACAAGATGTTAGATGAGATGTTCTCGTCCTGCATGAGAGATAGTAATGTGCAGCAGCAGTTAAGGGCACTTGACTCTGGAGCAGTTGGCCTGGGTTTAAATCTTGGTTCTACCACATTCTAGCTGTGGCAGTTTGTGCCTGTGTCCTTATCTGTGAAATGGGGATTATAATAGTACCTACCTTACAGGGTTCTTGTGGAGTAAATAAATTAGTAAATGTGAAGAGCTTAGTTAATGCCTGGAATATGGTGCTAAACAATGCTTGCTATTATTGTTACGATAGTCTGACTACACACACACACACACACACACACACACACACACGTATGTATATATATAAATAAAGATGTCTTGGGTTCCTTGGTGATCATATTGATGCCTTAATTTTTCTTCCTATTTTGTGTCTATTGGAGTGATAGGGGTTCAAGGGAAATTGACTTCAGGGTGCTAAGGTATGGAATATTAAGTCTGAAAAATAAGAAGGTTCTGATCCTAAAAAAGCCATGTTCTATTACTCTAGGATGTTAAAACACAGTATCAGTTTTCTCTGTACTGCCAGACACTGTCTTTTTTGGATAAGCTGTGTTCTGTCTTTCCAATTCAGAGAAACCAACAGTCTCTAAAGTAATAACAAGTAATGTTTACACAGCACTTAGTATGTGTCAGGCAGCAGTACTGTTCTATTCACTTTACATGTATTAACTAGTTTAATCCTCACAACAGTGCTATGAGATAGGTTCTTATTTTCTATAATCTTCATTCTGTGGATGAGGGAACTGAAGCACAGAGAGATTAAATAATCTGTTTGAAGTTTAGTAAGTAAAGAAACCGTAATTCACATCCAAGCACCTTGGCTCAGGCCCTCTACTGTTAACCACTACACTACACTCCTTCACTATCAAATGTCATTCTTTCTGTAACAGCCCTTTCTATTTAAAATGCATTTTGATGTGAAGTAACAAAGTAAAATTCACAGAACATATAATGATGGTTGAATAATTGGAACTAGGGAATAAAAAAAAAAAAAGCCTAAAATTCAAAAAGGATTTAAAACTGCTCTATGTGCATTAAGTCCCTGCTGTACTTATGCAACCATGCCCAGCCGAGAGAACATGCCAGAATAAACATGCTGCCAGGTTCACCCTTCACTATTCCCAAGGCATTTGTCTGCATTTCCAATAAACATTATTATATGCAGCCTCTCTCCCTAAAATGAAAATCTTTATTGCTATTTCAATGGTTTTTAGGGAATGATATATCTTAAGATTTTACCTTTTTCTGTTTTAAATTTGTGCATGTACTTATAAATATCATCAAAGTTTCACTTTCTTAGGGTCTGACTCCCACACTCTAAGTTTACCTCTGCTCCTATGCTCTTAAGGCAAGAGCTTCTTTTGAAGTGAATGGACAAGTGACATATATAGAAGATCATTCTGTGACAGGGAAAAAAAAAATCAGGCTGTGTATGATTAATACAAAAAGGAGATAAAGATCTTCGCATACAGCTGTGGGAAATAATTTCAAAGAGCCCACAATGAACTGTTCCGGATTTTATAATAACCTGGTGAAAAGTCATAAAAATAAACTTGAAAGGAAGACTGTAGCAAGGGAGGAAAAAAAGAAGCTCCAAGATGGTCAAGGTTAAAAATGATATCCAATTTTAGCGTGATGAAAATTTCTTTGCTCACGAAAAATTTACTGTGTGCTAGACTGAACTGTTTAGCCAAAAGATAAATAACGTGTAGAGATCCTTTCTGCACTGTTAACAAGATCATATTAAAAGGGCACATCTTAATTTATTTTTTTCAAAAAGCATTTTTCCTCTTTGAAAAGTTTCAGACCTAAGTTAAATGAAGAAAAGTATGGAAATAAAAGTCCTGTTCTGAAATGTTATCTTTATTTTTCATGAATCATTTGGCAAGTAAGAAACCACATCTCTTGGGACTGCTACAAAAAGTACATATGGATTGACTCTAATAAGTTGAATACTAACAGAGACTTGAAATCAGATGTTAGAGTTTTATAGTTAAAAAAATAAATCTAAACAATCCTTACTGTGGTTACTATTTTTTTATGCAAAAAATGTAACAGATATATCAATGGAAAAAGATGTTGCAAAAAATTGAACTATAAAAGGACTATCTGTTCCATTCTCCATTACTTGTAATGTCATAGAGGTGTTCCTATAAAAAAACTTCCTTAAGAGGGTTTACTTAAGCACTTCTTATGAGAAACTGGTTAACAGAATTCACTGGAGGGTATATATGGTCTCAGTACTGACCATACAGGAGTGGTAAATACCCTAGTGATTCACTCTTTTTGCATCAAGTTCCTGCATCCAAAATCACTTGCGCACAATCAGATGCAGTCTGTTCTTTTCCTCTGGACCTGGGCATTCTGGCTTTGCTTGGCAATCTAGCAGTTCCTTGTGTTCAGCTCTTATACATATGGGTCCTGGCTCTGGCTTTGATCTATACAATATACTTTCAGGATTACAAGAAATAAAGGGAACTCATTAGGATTTAGGTTCTAATACTGACCACTAGCCCTTGTACAATTCACTATATTTCTTGAGCTTCAGTTTACTCATCTATAAAGTGGGCTGAAGTTTGGTTTAGAGGATAGAATGCACATAAAAGCATTTGTAAACTGTAAAACAACATAATGTGAGCAGTACATGGTAAGCACTCAACATACTTGTTGAATGAATCAAATATGGGTACCATATTATTAAATTTTCACGGTGGGTTTATCAAACTTCTACAGTTGTCAAGACAAAGAATACATTTTAATAGGGTATATTTACATGTGATATGCTTTATTTCATTCTTACTTTTTCAAAAACAAAATCTTATTAAAAAATTTATGTAATTAGACAATAAGCAAGTTTTTCTAATATTTCATTTCTAAAAGAAAATAACTTTCACTTCATTCTAAGAGTATGCTACATTTTAAAAATTCATTTGAAATCAAGTTTGTAGTTTAGAAAAAAGTAGAAAAATTATAGCAAGTTTACTATGTAAGGGGCAAAAAAGAGAAGGAAACAGAAAAGATTTCTAGTACTCAAATTGGCTCCTAACCCTATCCAAACACCAGATTTGGCATCAATCAAATGAACTCAGTTCCTCCATATTTTGAAGTGTATAAATTCAGCTCTATGGGATTGCCTAGGGCAAAGGTGTTATAAATGTACTCAAGTCCATCTGGCTTAAAATGTCTCTGTCCTTCTGGCTCAAATAAACACTTATAAAAAACTGCTCAACCATGACACTTAACTATATGCCCTGCTAAACATTAATGTTGCTCCTTCTCAGTTTCTTAAGCGTTCTACCTTCTAGGTACTACCTAGAAGGTAACTGACCTCAGGGTCCAATCTTGTACTCTCCTCTCATCAATGCTTTCTACTTCCAGTCCCATGGTTTGAAATACTGTTTTATTGACTTCTAAGTCTATATTTACACTGTGACTTCTCGGTATATCTCCCAGACTATTACCTCCATTTGGATATCTAATTGATATTTCAAAGCAATTATACCCAAAATGAACCTACTGACCTTACTTCTCACCCAAAGCTTGTTCTTTCTTAACCCAGTAAACGTAAGAACTTTAAGAGACTCAAACAAAAATTCTAGGAGTTATGCTAAATTTCTTCCTTATCCAAGTATGCCAACAAGCCTACCTCCAAAATTATCTAGAATTCCACTCACTTTTCTCCTTCAATTTTATTACTGGCATGCCACCTAAACCAGCCCTTATCTCTCTTCTAGAGCTCTGCAAAAGCCTAGTCTCCCAGTTCTTACCAATGCCTTTATTCAGTCTATTCTCTTCACAGGAACCAGCGTAATACATTCAAATATACACCAGATCATGTCCCATCCGTGCTTAAAGACCCTTCAGTGGCTTTCCACTGTCAGTAGAATTTATTACCATGACAACAAGGCCCTGCAGGGTCAGTCCTTTGTCCAGCCTAGCCTCATACCAAACTCCCTCTCTGACCATGCTTCAGCCATACTGATGTCTCAATTTCTCCAACACAAGTTCTCACCCCACAGCCTTTCTACCCACTTTTTCCTCATTTGCAATGCTCTTCTTCCAGCTCTTTATGCCTGATTTCTTCTCATTCTACAGGTCTCAGCTCTAATGTCACCATCTCAGAGAAGCCTTCTTTAATTACCCTATGTAAAGTAGCTACTCTCCTTCCTCCTCATTATAGCCTTTATATTACCTTATTTTTCCTTTAAAACACCATCTTCTCATAATATTCTTATTTGTTAACCTGTTTAGTATGTCTTCCTTAAAACCATAGACTTCTCAAGGAATATAACCTTGCTTGTGTTATTACTGCTTTATCTCTCGCCTAGCAGAGTACCCAGCATCTGGTAGGCACTCAAAATATTTATTGATAGAATGAATAAACAAACATGGCAAGATACTATTTTTTTGGTCATAAGTTTTATGTAAAAAATATTTTCAGCCTTTCTGTTATTCTTTTGCTTTAAGAAAACAACTTAAGCCCAGATATAAATAATTACTCCTATGAGTATTCTGAAATAAAAAGTATATTGAAAGCAAGCAAATTTTATTTATACTTTCCCTTGGAACTTCTGAGACTGACTTTAGAAAAAGCTTATTCACAATTGAAATGTGCTGATTCCAAGAAATAAGCTACCCCGAGCCATCAAACCATTTAATTTGCTCTTTGAATCCTAAGTTCTGCAATCTGACCAGATTTCACATGCCAAATGAAGCACTTTGGAATGAGAACAAAAAAAACTATAATGCTTTGCATTTCTCTGTGTAATAAACTTGGTTTCCTGAAATCAGAGGATAAGACTAGAATCCATCATCTTCTAGAAATGACCACTCAGGTATGATAAAAAGCAGAACATGCTAAGTTTCCATTTCCCTTTCCAATTCCTAAGAATCTCACATGCTATAATAGACTTTATTCATCTTGATCTCCTTTTCATCAATAAAATGTCAGTGCTAAAAGGCTATAACAACCAGGAAATAATTTTGAGCAATTTTGACTTTCCTGTTGAGAACTATTCTGGCCCACTAGTCATGAGGGACAAGCAACAGGGAAACTTCATAAAATACTTCTCCTTTTACAATGCCAGCTTGGAGTTGCTCCAGGAGCAAGCCTTTTGGGGCTCGTGTGTGTGGTATCGGATCAGGCAAAATCCATGAGAACAAATGGAAAATGCTTACAGTGGTCTCTGCAACTGACTCGTCCAAGTATGGCCTGAACCTTATCACACACTTTACACATATCAAAAAGGTAAGAATGAAAGCATTCAGGGAAGAATGAGTGGTACATATGCAATGGAAACAAGGCTCCTTGGAAATAGGAAATCAGATACTAGGTAGTTTAGAGATTCAAGAAAAAAGGGGAAGAAGCTGGCTTTTAGTTAGAATGAAGCAAAATAAACTCAAAAAGGGTAACATGAAGCATAGATGTTTTTGTATATTTCAGCAGAAAAGCTTATATACATGTAAAAAATTTTTAAAATTTATAAACATATCCACATAAACATAAACATTTTAATTCTTCATATCCTTTTGCAAAGAGAGACCTGGAGTGTATGTGCTGTCCTGGAAAGAAATTCCCAGTAAACTGTTAAATTAATCAAGTTTTCAAAAGCTTCCTGTACTAAAATTACTCCTTGTATGTATAGGAGATAGGATGACACTTCCTAATCTGATCAACAGTTATACTCCACAGGACAGATCTACTAATAAGGAACTAAAGGAGGTATAAAAATTCTAGGAATTTTAAAAGAATGAGTAGCTTATATTGTTTCTACCCATGTCATCTTTTTTTCTTTAGATTCCACCTGAAAACTACAAATGTGTGCTGGCTTACCCATTTTTTTCACTTCTTCAGCAAAGTATGGGTCATTCAAATCAACATCGGAGGGAAGTTCATCTTCACTGGCCTCTTCAGCAAGAGCCTTAAAGTTGAATATAAAATATATACAGTTTATTACAAGAACCATCACATAAATGTGAAGAAAAATAATACATCATTTATTTTAAATCACATAGTTCAATCTAAAATTAAACCAGTTTTTAAAATGGATGTTTACTGAATAACTCCCATCTGAGTCATTCTTTTGTTGGTTCAACAAAATTTTATGGAATGCTTAATAACTATAAGAAACTATGTAGAGCTTTTGGGAGAAATGAAAGTTATCAGATGCATACTGCTAAACATCATCCTGTATGCTGAATAAGACCCACCAAGCTCTAAACAATATTTGTTTTGACATTAATATCCTTTTAAATATAGGACATCTAAGAATTTTTCACCAAACTATTATAATAGATTCAGCAGTAATATGTTTGTAAGAAAAATTATACAATATTTATATATCTAACTACATATTTGCTCACATTTCTTTAACTTTTTTAGATCTATACTATAGCCATTTAAACTATGGCACATAAACATGTATTCATTTCTTCAGTAATAATTTCTCGATATCAAAATTGAAGTCACAGAGAGGAAAAGGGGGGAAATAATTTTAACTTGAAGAAAATTCTTGAAACTCTTTTATGTATGGAGAGCCTGTGGTATTGGAAGGGTTCTGCTGGAATCACAAGTCCAGTACGTAGCACTCAGTCTAGAACAAATTGGGCACTTAATAAATGTATTTTTAATGTTATTGATTTAAAAAAAGTCTATTCTTAGACTAATGAAGGGAAAATGCCTACCAAATGAAAATTGAAGAGAATACTTGCTAAAGGTCTCTGAAAGTGACAACTGACTCCATCAAGACCTACCTGTAAGTCTTTCAAAAAACTGAGGGCTTAATAACTTGTGGAATTATTCCATTTAAAAAATATTTTACTGCTCAGTTTTAAAGTAAGTTCTAGGGAAGAAGAAAGGCAGCATATCGATGGGGGCAGGGCTCTTACCCCATTCCTCATTTCACTATCCATTACTAGCAACACTGACCATAATAGGAGTACAAAAATTACTCCACTGCATCGTTTAATTTTGTAGCTCTCTATTTTACAAGCACTGAAGGTCACAGCTGTATTATGTATACTCTTACATAGTACATAGATAATACAATATAGTAGAAAGAACACTGGAGAAAGCTGGAGTTTGGCCATTAACAAGCTATGAATCCTCAAATGAATTACTTAATTTTCTAGAACTGTAAGACAAGAGGGATGGACTAGAAATAATAGATTCCTCAAGTTGTAAAGTTCTGTGATTAGTGGTATCATATTAAGGTAATGACTTTAATGCCAGAATGCTGCATTTTGATGACAAGATGAGTATTTTCAGTGGCGAAAACCATTAAGTGGTCTCTGTCATTCCTGAGGACTCTAACTTTGAAAAATATGTTATCCCTGAATCATGGGAGTCAAATCAGATTTTTCATACGTAACATATTACCACAGAGGAAATAACCTTAATAAAAAGGCTTAATGACAATAAGATGTTAAAAGATCCATATAACACTGAAAAGTGAAAAATGCAGAAATAGAAATGTATAGAAAAATTTCATTCACATTAAATACTTCCATCTGTATATCTCCTTAAGAAGTCTGTATGTACCTCTCTTCCTCAAAAACATAAAATATAATCAACCTCGGTTACATCTAGATATCAACTAAACTATGTAATTTATTTAGGTAGCATGTAAATGCAAGATATTAGAGCATAATAATTAAAGTGGCTCTGGGTTCTTACCAGGCTTTTACATTATGTAGTTTTTGCAGAAAACACGTAACCTACTGGGTTTTCTCTTCCCTTTCTCTCAAAATGGTGATGGGGCCTACTCCAGTGAGTGGTTACACACTGAAACAATGGATGCTAAACACCTGTTACCTCCTGATACATGGTTATTGTTCAATAAATATTTGGTTGTAATTATCCTTGATACCTTCTGTTTCTTTTTCAGTCTCTTTTTCTCTTTCTTCTTCTCTAAAAATTGTTCCCAAGGGGTCAGTTTATCCTTTCCTTCCAGTTTGTTTTTGACTAACTCTTCTGCACTTTCTTTAAGACCTAAGGAAAAACACAAAAATAGTTCAGTTTAAAATGTTCTATCTTCAGTCCCTTAAAAATGTAATTTGCCAAAAAAGGTCATTTATATGTATTTAATAGAGTAACAAGATAAAATGCAACACTGAACTTTATAATACTTCAAGATCGTAGAATAAGGTAGAATCAACATATCAAAGCTATTTCCTAATAGCAAACAATAAACCTAACCGAATCAAAACAAATAAACAAACCCAGCAACTAGATACATGATCAAGACACTGAAGAAAAATCCTTTATTTAGGCTCAAACTTAATTTCTCTATACTTTATTGCTTTGAGTCTCTTAAGAAAAATTCTGGAACAAAAAAATCTTCTCAGGGTGAAAGCCTATATTCCCTGGAAACTATAGGTGACTAAAAAATCGATTAGTAGGGCAATCCCTGTTGAAATACCCAAAGAGGAAATAATTCTCATAATCACTCCTCGAGCACTCTGTGAGGCCAAATCTTTAAGATCAAAAAGACCTCTAAGTTCAGATTCCACTTTGTATGGTTTAATTCTTTCAATGCTGTTATTCGCTCTTGTACTTTATCTCTAACGATCTCTGTTTCTTATATTCTTCAGCTCCTGAATGATGTTTCTAGGTGGCTTATGTAGTAACTGGAGTGGGATGAGAAGGTGAAAAAAGCCCCAAGCCTGATCTATCAGTCCATCGAAATCCTCATTACTGCCAAAGTAAAGGGAATGTGACTACTGTGTTCTCTCCTTTGATAATAAAGATGTTTGTTTCATTTTGTAGTATTTTTTGAAGGTCATAGTTGGATTTGGGAAGGAGGGGGCTTCCATATTTAGATGACACAAAGTCCATTAAAAAAACCCCAATAATTAATGGAATATTCTGAAATGCTGATATGGTCAATCCAGATCATCTTTCCAGACACATTCTAAATTCTAAGAAAGTGAAAATGATCCTAAGGATATAATAATTCCCTTTGTTTCTGATGAGCATGCTGAGATTGGGAATGTTCAGTAACTTGCCTAAGAACATGCAGCTAGGAAGCTACAAGGATGCAATCTGAACCCCTGGTTATACTATACATTATTAGCAGATACATCTAAAATGCTGGTTTGACCCAGAATAAAGAAATGATTAGCCTATGAATAAAACCTAAAGCTCTGGTGCTCAGGTTCATCACCTGCAAAATGAAGTTGGTCTAGATGAGAAGCATGCAATTCGCCCCTGCCACATACACAATTTTTTCCATCAAAGAACATATTTGGTAGAAGTTCAAATATATAAAGCAACTAAAAGTAGTGCTTTGGGTCTTGAGCCCCAAAGCACATCATGAAACAGCTATAACAGATGATCTCTAAGGTCCTTTCCTTAGCTTTTAAGCTAAGACTTAATCTCCACATTTCTATGACTTAGAAAAGTATTAAATTATACATATACTCGAGGTTATACAGATTTGTTTTTTATGACATACTGCTGGTAGGATCATTGATTTACTGGATGCCAAATCAGAAACACAACTTTCAATTCAAAAATGTTTCTTATAAGAAAAACACAATTCACTTTACTAGACAATTTTCAGGAGAAATGTGAGCTGTATAAAACCATGTCTAAATCTCTGACTGAATCAATAGATATACAGCACTGGGAAATATAAACTTGGATCTCCATTTGGGAGGAAGTAGCAGATCTTGACAAAATAAATCAATTTCAAAAAAAAAAAAAAAAACAAACAAACCAAAAAAAACCCCAAAGTAAAATAATTTATATGTAATGCAAAAGGGTCAGCACATAATCAGTTCGGTCTCAAATTCTAAACATACAGTATATTAGATATGATGGATAAATAATAATATTTAAGGTATTCTACTATAATTTCCAAATACATTAAAACTTTATTACTCCAAAATATTAAGTAATATATTTAGAGATCTTTTTTCCCAACAGAATGCATTCTCTGATTACAGTCATGCACATTGTACATTGACAAGGATACCTTCTGAGAAATTCATTGTTAGGTGATTTTGTCATTGTATGAACATCAAAGAATGCATATACACAATCCTAGATGGTATAGCCTACTAGATATCTTAGCTATATGGTATAGTCTATTGCTCCTAGGCTACAAATCTGTACAGAATGCATTATACTGAATACTGTAAGCAACTGTAACACGATGGTAAATATCTGTGTATCCAAACATACCAAAAACATAAAAAAGGCACAATAAAAATGTTGCATAAAAGATAAAAAATGGTACATCTGTATAGGGCATTTACCATGAATGGAGCTTACAGAACTAGAAGTTGCCATGGGTGAGTCAGTGAGTGAATGGTGAGTAAATGTGAAGGCCTAGGACATTATTGTATACTGCTGTAGTATACACTGTATACTTTATAATAAATACCATACAATTTAGGCTAAGTTAAAAAGTTTTTTTTCTTTAATAATAAATTAACCTCAGCTTACTGTAACACTTCACAAACTGTTAAAATTTTTTACTTTTTGACTTTTGTAATAACATTTAGCTGAAAATACACACTGTATAACTATACAAAAAATACTGTTCTTCATATCCTTATTATCTTTTTCTATTATTTATTTTTATTTTTTACTTTTTAAGCTTTTTTGTTGTTGTTGTTAAAAACTAAGACACAAACACATGCATTAGCCTAGGCTCACACAAGGTCAGCATCATCACTATCACTGTCTTCAACCTCCATATCTAGTTCTGCTGAAAGGTCTTCAGGGGCGATAACTGGCATGGGGCTGTCATCTTCTATGATTACAATGGCTTCTTCTGGAATACCTTCTAAAGGACCTGGCTTTAGACTCTTACTGAGGAGGTGTCACTCTTTTCAGAAGTATATCCATGGTGGTTTCCTTGGTTTGTTTTTTTTCATCATAGATTTACTTGTAAGCAGATTATTAAACCATGAACATTTCTATTAATGAAAATCTTTTGGTGTTGAGGTCCATGTTTTCAAAATTTTTAAGGAGCTTGTTGAGGTCTGCAAAAGTTTCTGCTAAACTATTCACTGTGAATTTTCTTGGGGGTTCTTCTCCTATTCTCCTGCAGTTTCTTTTTCTCTTGCCTCATAGTCTTTTCTTCTTGCCTCATAGTCTTTTCTTCTTGCCTCATAGCATTTCTCTGATGATTAGTGAACTTGAGCATCTTTTCATATGTCTATTGGCCATCTGTATTTTCTTTTTGGAGAAATATTTGTTCAGGTCTTCTGCCCATTTATTAATTGGATTTTTTTTTTTTTTTTGCTGTTGAATTGTATGAATTCTTTATATATTTTGGATATTAATCTCTTATCACATGTATCATAAGCATATATCTTCTCCCATTAAGTAGGAAGTAGGTTGTCTTTTCGTTTTGATGATGGTTTCCTTTGCTGTGCAAAAACTTTTCAGTTCAATGTAGTCCTATTTGTTTATTTTTTCTTTTGTTTCTCTTGCCCGAGGAGATATATCCAAAAAGAAATTATTGGTAGCAATATCAGAGAGATTACTATGTTTTCCTGTCCTGTTCCAGTTCCAACAACTCATTAGTCAATTCCTCAGGAACCACCTCCAGGAGCTCCTCAATGTCATCCTTATCCTCACCCAGGTTAAAGTTGTTTGCCATCTAACCAGAGCCTTGGTGATTTTTGTGATCTCTTCATCCTTGGCAAATCCTTTGAAGTCTGTAATCCTAGTAGATGCTGTAATCCTTCCAAAATTGCATCAATGTCTTTTCAGTGTCTTCCTCACTTGCAGCAATAGCCTGAGCAAAGATCCTCCTCAGGTAGGAGGCTTTAAAAGCTACTATAACTCCTTGATCCACTGGTTAGATAAAAGAGGTGGTGTTTGCAGAAACACCACTTTTGGAATGGGATGAAAACCACCTGTAAAAGGAAGATGTCTGGGAGCATTATTAACAATAAGCAAAATCTTGTAAGGTATGTTATTCTCCAAACAGTACTTCCCATTTTGCTAAAATAACAATTCAGGAGGGCGTCTTCGAAGAGAAGCTGAATCATCCAAGGTTTCTTACTGTTCCTGTTGCACATTGATAATTTACACTTATTGACAATGCCTGAAGGCTCTGGGGTTCTCACTGTGCCAGATCACAAAAGGTTTCAATTTGTAGCCTGCAATACTGCCCCCAAGCAAGACTGTTAGCCCTGTTCTTAAAAATTAAAAGCCTGGAGACCTGGCATTGACTTGGGCCTCCTATGGATGAAAGTTCTTTTAGGTATCAGTTTCCAGAATATGGAGGTTTCAGCCATATATCAAATATTTGCTCTGACAAGTAAATTTCCTCCATAATCAGCTTACCTAGTTTCCAAAAATTCTTCAGATGCTTTCACATTAGCACTTGAGGGATCACCACTCACCTTCACATTATGTAATACATCGTTTAAACCACCCACAGCTGGCAGTAATTTCAACATCTTGGCTGGGTCCAGATTTTCTTTCAACATCACATTTTTCTTTGACTGTAGCTATCACGATGCTGAGAGCTATACACTTGTGTCTGGTCTTCAATTCAGGTCATCAGAAGTTTCTCCATGTCTCATAAAGGCCCTTCTTGAATTTTGTTTTGTTTTGTTGCCTTCAATAAAGCAGATCTTTTAACAGTTTCCGTCACTTTGTTCTTGTTCTTCAAGACCATAGCCATGGTGGAATGGGACATGCTTAACCAGAAAGCAAGAATCATCACTGATTTTCCACCTTTGTAGTCCTTAATCACTTTTAATTTAATTTCCAGGTCAATCCTCCTACTGGCAATATTAGTAGCAGATTTTGTATGCTTAAGGGCTATGGCGAACAAAACAACATGAGATTAAATCATGCACAAGAGAGAAAGATGCAATCAAGAGACATGTTAAACACGAGATGTATGAAGCTGTGGCATGAGTAACACGGCATACCATTTTACAGCAAACTTTTTTTTAATAGGTAGAAAGAGTACACTCTAATGATAAGCAGTATAGTAGATACACAGACCAGTAACACAG